TCCAGTCTGGTTCTATCGAGAAATTGAAGCCGGAGCAAGAGGAATGTAATTGCTGGTAAAAATTGTGGCGCTACTCCCCACGGGCTCCGTTAGCGGCAAAGGAGATGGCTAAAGTTAGGCTAAATGCTAATAAAACACTTGGGAATTACATACGTCACAGTAAACTCAGATCCAATGGTTTCAATCTGCAAAAGGAGTTAACCCCTCCCACCTGTTAACGGAGTCAATGGAGCACCTCCAGACCTTAGTATGAAGTGTAATTTGTACTATGGTGTGGTACGACCAGTCTAGTACTTTACAAATAACTGTGATCAAATTGACCTCCTCAGTTAAACTTTTAAAGATGAATGCTATTATTGTCTCATTACAACCATACAATACAGTTCTGGTAATTACTGTACAATATATCTTGTGTTTAAATTGTAGAATTATAAATCAGTCAGAGGGCAGGTGCCAATACAGCTCTATATAAGAGACAGGCACATTTCCAAAAAAATGTTAAACAAGAAAATGTCCAACAAAAAAAATCCCCAGATTATGATTTGATAGAGATTACGTTCACAAACTCATACTTACCATATTATTCTTATGACGGGAAATTCTTTCTTCTGGCCAATATCTCACAAATGTTTTTGAACAAAACTTGTAGACACCTGAGCAAACAGTTTGTATGTATCAACAAAGGATATGTTTAACTTTGAGCCAAAAATCAGACATTTGAAAGACCACATTTTTATACAATAGGCTCTTTGGAATGTTGTGGTGTGACATAAATACAGTATTCAAATCTAAATTGATACAAGCAGGTGAAGTTGGTGTAATGATAGCACTAAAGCATTATTAAGCATTAGGCATGATTTTGAATTGGCCATTTTTATTTATTTATGCACAAACTTTATAATTCAGGATTTAGTCAATTTGATAGAGGGCCATACTGTTGCAGAGAATAGACTTTAAAGCAACTCACCTTTGTTCATGTCTCTCCACAGCTATTTTAACGGACGTAGTCAGGCCTATCTCCGCCGTTCTAACTAATGGGCCAAAAATTGGGCTTTTATGGAGTGATTCAAAATGGCCGCGGGGGCTGGAAAATGTGAAAAAACACATCTGTGCATGCGTCAGCTGCATGAGCTCCATTCATTTAAACGAGTGACTTCTAAAGTCCACAGCGAGTAAACTAGACTGGTCCAAAACACTCAGCTTTGACACACATGTGGAACGGAGCTTTGGGCCAAGAGCCAACTTTTGGACCATCCTGTAAAGACGTTTTTGAGAGGTAAGAAGATGCTATATGTTAGCTTTGGCTAATTATTATTCTGGGTCCACCCCCACAGGCGCGGGGTGGTATTGCAGCATGTCAGCGCACGTCATTTTGGCCACTTTTGAGCCGGGACCCGCCCCCACTGGTATGAACCAACTCAAAGGAGCACAGGGACTGGCCTCCTGCTGGTGCTCAGAGCCAAGACTAAACATGGGGAGGCGGTGGTTCAAACATATGCAGCCAAAACCTGGAACAGTCTTCCTGAAAGTATGAGACAAGATTCTACTTTGACAGTGTGCCAACTCTTTTAAATGTACTGTGATTATTTAGGATTTTCTTGCTTCTTCGAGTTGCACTTTGAGTTGCCTTGTGTATGAACTGTGCTATACAAAATAAACTCGCCTTGCCATTTTGTAGCATCTGGAATTACTGTGAGCATATAGCAAAGACTCTTATCTTAAATGCTTTTGTAAAAATGTATTGCTTGAGATAACAAAACAGCGCAGAGTTGTGTGTGCAGCTCCCCATGTGTAGTTTTACGTACTTGTGTGGAACAAAACACAGAATCAATAACTCCTCAAGTAATAATCATTCCCCCACATTTTTCATTCCGTATGGCCGCAGGTGCATAATCGTATGTATACAGAAATCACACAGGTGGCCAAAAAGCCGGAAGATTTGAGAAGCGAGGAGCCTTCAATCACTCTAACAAAGATTTCAGCCTCTATCTCTCCAACAAGTCAAGGTTTTTCTTTCCTTCAGGGATGCAGCGGCTTCCCGTGGCACACAATTCGGCTGCTAATGTAAGATAAGGGAGATTGAAGGCGCTACAAAGGTTAGTGCGCTCCTCACTCGCGCTCGGTAAATAATGATATATTGCTAAGCGCTCCGGCTCTATCCACCTGCTGTATATCTCAATATCTCATTATGATATTCGGGAAATACAACCTGGCGCCCGTGTACGACTGCAAAGACAAACAGCAAAATGTATTCACGGCGTCAGAGTTACATGGCGCTGTATTTGGTTGCACATACGCCGCCATGTTGGTGATAGCATAAAAGTATAGAGGATTTTGATATGGGCCACTGTTTACTTTTACATTCTTTTTCCAGGCTGAAGAAGGAGGTCTTACTTTTACTTATACATCCCATCACATCGCATTACCCAACAAGTTTTTACTTTGCTTTTGCTAACTGTGGCTTTTCAATGTAATTCTTCTACTGTGGATCATTGCTCAATAGTTTTACAATATCAATATCAATGTAAGTAATGAGTATCTATTTAGCACATTTTCCCAGACAAAGGTCTCCCAAAGCACTTTACAATGTTCAGAGTTCCAATTCTATTCTATTCTCTCGACACAGTGATGACGGCGGTAAAACGTTGAGCACACTGGACCCTCAAAGCCTCCGACCAAACACCATCCATTCACTCGCTCATTACATTCATACCTATTGTACATGCTTTTAGTGGTAGGGGAAACCGGAGCACCCGGAGGAAACCGGAGCAGAACATGCAAACTCCACTCAGAAAGGCCTGGAGGTGGAATCGATCCCAGGACTTTCTTGCTGTGAAAGAAAAACTCCAAGACAGGGGTGTCAAACTTATTTTGGTTGAGGGACGGATAAAATGAGAAAGAGCTGGTCAGGGGCCGAAAGAATTAACTGGGTTTGACTTATTATTATTTATTTTTTGGAATATGAAGGTATCTATATAAATTTCACATTAGTTGGATTGGATATTCTTTTCTGATTAGAATTAGTTCAGTTCCTGTGACTGAACCAAAACTGGACCAAATATCGAAGGTATACAGGAAGATTTTATACTTTTGGGTGGATCATTGAGACTATTGGTCCTCCCAACTGTCAATCATTCTGGTGATTTGTGCTCGTCAAATAAGACCAGACGGTTTTGTTCAAAAGGTGGAGAGGGCAGTTCCTTCCTAAGAAAATTGGGAAATCCTTTATTTCTTAATGAACTAAATGTTATGGTTGTTTTCTTAGTAATGGATAACATGCCATTGTCGCCTATGACCATTAATGCTGCTATTTAATATTATAATTTAAAATCATCTCAAGGACCACTGGAAATGGTCTCGCGGGCCGGATCTGGCCCCCATGCCGCCCAAAGCTTATAAATAGACTAATATTGACTAATACCAAAATCAGTCTAAACTGATCGGTTATTTTCCTGACTTCAGTTGAAAGTTTTGGTATGGATTTGTGCCCAAATCTTTATGCGACATCACTAGCAGAGAGAGAAGTAGATTATTTTTCATTTGTGCCAATATTTCTCTGAGTCACAGTAAGCAAGGAACAGTGTTGGCATTGATTAAAGGAGGGGTGCCTAACTTTGTCTTTTCAATTTTGTCTCAACAGAAAGATTCTTGTGAAATTAAAAAGTCATGTTATTATTAAACATGTTATATTTTTTATCCTTTATAAGAAGAGCCCTGTGAGTCGCCGTCATAGTCTGTAAATTAGAAGTGGACAGACTTGAGTTCTGACATCACTGTAGTCTTTGCCGAATGCAGAAGAACCCCATGTGAAGCCCATTTCCTTATATGGGCATTTGTTCTGACGGGTTTAGGTTTACGGCCGTAACAGGGTCATGTCACTGGTGGTTGCTAAAACACTGTTTCTTTTAGACCAAAATGATTAGTGTGACACATACAGAAGAAGCCGGAGCAAAACTTCCCTGTGAGGCTTCATTGAGCTAATGAGTTAGCATTGTCCATCTATAAACAGTCTATGGTTGTTGTTTGATGGTTTGGGCTGAGAGCTGATTGGTCGGTCTGAGTGAGGTTGGTCTTCTGGTTTTCATCTGACAGACATCAAATATACCTGCATGTAATAACTGGTGACAGAATCGAAATCTTTTGCTTGGTTTTAATACATAGTTATAAAAAAGAAGATAAGATAAGATTAGATAGACAAACTGCCGTTGTGTCCTTAGGCAAGACACTTCACCCCCATTGCCTAGAATGAGTCTGGTGTGTGTGTGAATGGTTGGTGGTGGTGGGAGGGGCCGATGGCACAGACTGGTTGCCTCGCTTCTGTCAGTGTGCCCCAGGGCAGCTGTGGTTACAGTAGTAGTTTATCACCACTGTGTATGGAGTGAGTGTCCAAAAAAGCGCTGTATAAAACCGATGCACTATTATATAGTGGCTGCATAGACTATGCAGCCACTATATGCTCTCCTCGCCAGATTTTGGCACTTTTCAACTCTTCAACGCTTTCACCAAATTCAACAAATTATACATCGTTACGACCGGCTTCACCGTCTCATTATTGCTATTACTTTTCACACTTCCACCTTTAGCACTTTTTCAGATATTAACACAAGTTCAAGCACTTTTTCCCATAAACTTACATTGGACCAGTACAACAGATTACAGATTACAACATTATACAACACATTACCACACTAACAATTCATTACCATAGATACAATACATTACAACATCTTACAACACTTACAGCACCTTACAACACATTTAGCACTTTACAACAAATTCAACACCTTACAACACATTCAGCACCTTACAACAAATTCAGCACCTTACAACACATTTAGCACTTTACAACACATTCAACACCTTACAACAAATTTAGCACTTTAACACAAATTCAACACCTTACAACACACAAATTCAAAACCTTACAACACATTTAGCACTTTACAACACATTTAGCACTTTACAACACATTCGGCACCTTACAACACATTCTTCTTACTTCATCTTCTTCTCTTCTTCCTCTTCTTCCTCTTCTTCCCCTTCTTCCTCTTCTTCCTCTTCTTCCCCTTCTTCCTCTTCTTCCCCTTCTTCCCCTTCTTCCTCTTCTTCCCCTTCTTCCTCTTCTTCCCCTTCTTCCTCTTCTTCCTCTTCTTCCTCTTCTTCCCCTTCTTCCTCTTCTTCCCCTTCTTCCCCTTCTTCCTCTTCTTCCCCTTCTTCCTCTTCTTCCTCTTCTTCCTCTTCTTCCTCTTCTTCCTCTTCTTCCTCTTCTTCCTCTTCTTCCTCTTCTTCCCCTTCTCCCTCTTCTTCCTCTTCTTCCCCTTCTTCCTCTTCTTCCCCTTCTTCCTCTTCTTCCCCTTCTTCTTCTTCCCCTTCTTCTTCTTCCTCCTCCTCTTCCTTCTTCTTATTTCCTCTTCTTCCCTTTTCTTTATTCCTCTTCCTTCTTCATCCCTAACCCTTCCAACATCTATGCAGCCACTCACAATGGCTTCAGCCATTGTACCATTTCTAGTTATTATTACTTTATTGATCTCACACAGGAGAAATGTACATTTGGCATGGATAGAAAGACTCAGATTTCTGCAAAACACTACCCTGGCCTTATCCATCCGTACTCTCCGTTCAATCATCATTTCACTGCCTGTAACGTCTGGGTCTGGTCCCTGTGTTTGCGATTACAATCGGTTGAATTTCGACCGACCAATCAGCGAGCGCGGGAGGCGGGTGTTGTAGTGAGTTGTGGGTGACGTCAAGAGTTTGCGTCGAACGGGCAGGTTGTAGTTTGGTAATGGCAAAAAATGCGATAGTAAAGTAATCCGGTCTGGTTCTATCAAGAAATAGGAGCAAGAGGAATGTTTAGCAAATGTAATCGCTGGAAAAAAATGTGGCGCTACTCCCCACGTGCTCCGTTAGCGGCAAAGGAGATGGCTAAAGCTAGGCTAAATGCTAACAATAGACTCGGTGACGTATGTAGTGCGCCTACATCTGTCACGGTAAATTCAGATCCAATGGTGTCAATCTGAAAAAGGAGTTAACCCCTCCCACCTGTTAACGGAGTCAATGGAGCAAATCCAGACCTTAGTACAAAATGTAATTTGTACAATGGTGTGGTACGACCAGGCATGCAAAAGACAGAAGTTTGCAAACATGTTAAGGGCCAAAAATATATCAGTGGTTTGAAAGTTACCCCAGCTTGTCACCCCATGTGTCCTTTAAGAAAAAAAAAACCTACCCAGTGGATAATTCAAATGTGGAATTTTGATGAAAAATGTGCTTGTATGAACATATTGTGAGTGCATGTTTGGTGATAAATAAATTAAAAAAATATATATTGATGAAAAATTTTAGGACGAGTTCTATGCCAGTCAAATGTGTATTTTTTTTTTCTTTCAGGTGCAATTTATTTTCGAATTTTCTTCATTTTCTGTCTCCAATTTCCACTTGATTCTGTGGAGATTTAGAGGATGTTAATACAATACACCCAGCTTAGTCGACACATACACATAAACATGTGCTGATTGGGGATAACAGAAGATGAGATCCTATTTTGTTTCTTCATTATCGAGCTTACGAGCACGGTTCAATGTGATTGCAGTAATAACACCACAAAGCCCTGGTATAAGGTTGTGTGCATGCTTCCTAATACTTCATTTAGGCTCTAATTCAAATTGAAAAACAATATAGTCTCATAGCAGACATGATTTGCACACGCTTGTTTGTTGGAATGGCTTCGGAGCTCTTAATTAGCCGATCCGGGGAGCCGCATGCTTTCTGACGCACCGAAATGAAAAGGCGTTATATTGTTGGCGAATTTAAATACAGAGCTAAGGCTGCGGATTCCTGTCTGTTCCACACACGCTATTTATCAAAAGCCTCTCACCATGAAATGACGCATTATGTGGGGAAAAGGGAGAAATGCCACTTCATTTGTCAGTCACTTGTTTTTTTGTCTTTAGAAAAATGAACGCTCTGGTTGTCTCCTGTGGCTTTCTGACTACGGTGGGACAAAAGTACATCAATCATTTGTTACCAGAAGTTGATTGCTTCGACTTAACTTTTATCGCGTTAAGTTTGTCATGGGTTTTTAAATACGGCTCGTGCTGATTGTTGTTGTGTTTGTTAGGATGTGACGCATCGGTGATATCTTCAGTAATGGACTTGAAACGGAATAGACACGCCACGCAATTCCATTTGTGCCTGAGTTAGATTGTCTGACCAGCCAGAACCAAACAATTGTACAATACTTATATCAAATATTTGTTTAAATACGTGAAGGTCTTGATCTCTGCCCCTACCTGCCAATTTCAGGTGCCATGTTTGTGATTGATTGAACTCAACGCAAAGCGGTCATCATCATCTCCTGAAGAAGCAATCCTCCAGATCCCACACCCTGCATTTGAACATGTGTGGGATTACATGATATACTGTTTAACTGGAGCAAGTCTGCTCAATAACACTGACATAATCTGATTGGGAGATGGTCTGTTTTGGCTGAAGCCGATTATAATCTATTTGATGTATTCTATACTGCATTTCTGCACTTTTATTGTATTTTAAATTTAGTGTTTCTGTGTTGTATGTCTCCTAACCGGTGCTCTGTCTGCAAATAAAGTTCCTCATGGATTAATAAAGTTATTTGATTTGAATTGATCTCTAGAACTCCCAGAGCAGTCAACTTTGCAGCTTTTAGTTTTAGAAGTGTAATTACTCAGCGCACATGTCTGGTTTCTATACGCAGTTTATTTGTAGGCCATTATTTTTATTAAATGATCTTTTATTTTTGAAACATGAGCAGTTAGTTACCATTGTTAAGAGGGGTTTCTTTTCCAACCAGAACGAACAAAAGTGGACACGCCCTCAGAGAGGACCCCACATGCATGCTGCAAATAAAAAGTTATATAATAAAAGCAAATCCAACACAGAACTGATCCAGGGATGAAGGCGATGGACACAGAGAGGAGCGGGGCGCAGGGGACAGTATATGCACCTAAGTGAAGTGTTTAGGGCGAAGCAGGAAGAAAAACTTTACATCAAACAATTATAAAAGACAAATTATCGAACAGGAACTGCATGGGCCAAGATCAGAAGCAAGCAAGCAAGCAAAGTTTATTTATATAGCACCTTTCTCAGACAGAAGGTCACAAAGTGCTTCACATCAAAAACAAGCAATAATTAAAAACACAAGAAAAAATTACACAATCAAACAACAGTGGAGACAGTCATATCAGCCCATAAAACCGTACTTTCAAAACGCTCGACTGAACAAGAAGTAAGTAAGTAAGTAAGTTTTTATTTATGTACCGCCTTTTCACTGCAGATCTGAGTCTCAAAGCGGTTTACAATTGTTAATTTTGGGCATTTGTCTTTCACTCCACACAGAGATGGGAGCGGGGCCAGTACAGGAGGCGCATGCCAGAACTATTGGACATATTTTTAGTGGTAGGGGAAACCGGAGTACCCGAAGGAAACCTACGCAGACACGGGGAGAACATGCAAACCCCACTCAGAAAGGCCCTGTTCCGACCGGGATTCGAACCCAGGACCTTTTTGCTGAGAGGCGAGAGTGCTATCCACTCAGCCAGAACGTCTTGAGTTGGGATTTAAATGTATCAACAGAGTCAAGTGATCGTAGAGAGAGCGGGAGATCGTTCCAGAGTCTAGGTGCGACAGCCTGGAAGGATCGGTCTCCTCTGGTTCGATAAGGAGTGCGAGGAACCATCAAGAGATTTTTATCTGCAGACCTCAGAGAACGAGAGGGGACATAGGGCTGAATCAGATCTCCGATGTTAGAAGGCGTCTGACCATATAAGGATCTAAAAGTCAGCACCAAGATTTTAAATTGAAACCGGTAAGACACCGGCAGCCAGTGGAGGGCTTTAAGAATTGGGGTAATATGAGCCCTTCTATTAGTGCAAGTTAAAATCCTCGCTGCAGAGTTTTGAACCATTTGGAGACGAGACCGCTCTTTTTTGTTTAGACACGAAAATAAACTGTTGCAATAGTCCAAACGTGACGACACAAAAGCATGAATAATGAGCTCCAAATCATTACGTGACACAATTTTCCTCAGTTTAGAGATGTTCCTCAACTGAAAGAAACAATTTCTGCTAAGCTGTTTAGAGTGGTGATCTAATGACATGTTTTTGTCAAAAATCACACCAAGAAATCATGACATGTTTTGTGGAATGTTCCAACACCATCTTCATGAGCACAACCTGCAGACATTCAGTTATTAAAGTCACACAGTGCAATGATGATGGACCTGCAGTTGCATTCAGGCTCATGAGAAAGTGGCACTATTCTGGTTAATAAACAAGCTTGAAATTAACTTACAGAAAACGTATGATATAATGAAATAGGGCGTTAGGGCGGATCGACTGCGAGGTAGGTATTAGAAGTACCACAGAAGTACCATAGAAGTACCATAGAAGTACCATAGAAGTACCACAGAAGTAACACAGAAGTATCACAGAAGTACCATAGAAGTACCACAGAAGTACCATAGAAGTACCACAGAAGTACCACAGAAGTACCATAGAAGTACATAGAAGTACCACAGAAGTACCACAGAAGTACCATAGAAGTACCATAGAAGTATCACAGAAGTACCATAGAAGTACCACAGAAGTACCATTGAAGTACCAAAGAAGTATCACAGAAGTACCATAGAAGTACCATAGACGTACCACAGAACTACCATAGAAGTACCATAGAAGTACCACAGAAGTACCAGAAGAAGGGACGACGGGAGCCAAGGAGTGTGGATGAAAGAGATAATCACAAAAAACAGGTATATTTTATTAACAATAAACAACAAAAAGTGTCCTTTAAGTAGGAAAAAAATCCAATGTTCAGGCAAAAGTTCAAAAAGACTTCACAATGAGGTAATGATAATAGTTCCAAGAGTATTGTAATTGTAATCCAAGTGCGTATTTGTAATCCAATACTCTGGGATATGCCGTGGGGGTGAGTTCAGTTCGGTCGGGTAGCTCGCCATCCAGTGGGGGTCGAGGGTATTGCAGTTGTGTGTAGAAGGGGGAAAAAAACCTGGCCGTTGAGCGGGTTGTGGAAGGGAAAGATGAGGGGTGGGTCCGGTGGGTCTGTGCTGGTGATGTTGGGCTAATCAGTGGTATCAGAGATCGCTAAATCACTCTTAACAGGCAGTGAGACGGAGCCGGAGGAGCAGGGGTGAAGCTAGTGGTAAGGTAGTGTTTTTAAAGGAAGTTTGTCCAAATTAAAACCAAAAAAGATTGTTTTGCGTTATGTGACGTGGGTTACAGAAACATGTGAAAAAAAATATTCTGTACGCCGGCTTGAACCAAGACCCAAAATGTGATAAAAACAACAGTAGTCTGAGTTGTTCGTGTCCGAGTTAAAAAAAAACAGTTCAAATATTGATGGGCTACCTGTGTCGTCTGTCTCTTCTGGTTCTTTCTGCTTTCCACCTGCACTCTCACCCGTTTCTATTTTATCAAGTTGTCGAGACAATCTTCTCAGCACTTCTCTGTATTCGCTAACCCGGAAATGTGTCCTGGATTCAGAGATCACATTGAGTTTGGCAACGAAAACACAGTAAGAGAGTTGAGGTTGGAAAAAGGGAAGTTTAGGGGCTGCTAAAAAATTACAAAAATCGAACGCCCTCGAACATCACTCTATGAAGCTGAACATACTGCCGATCTGACCTCACATGTTGTTTATCTGTGCAAACTAATGTCAGAATGTGCAGTATAGAACCCACGGTGTTCCTCAGAGCTCCGTATTAGGACCCAAATTATTTATTTTGTACATAAATTAAATCTGTGAAGTTCTTAATAAATCACGATGCATCTTATTTGCTGATGATACTAGTCTGTATTGTTCTGGAAAAGATCTTGGGCTGCTTCTAAATACAGTAGGAAGTGAACTCAAGATATTAAAAACATGGTTTGATGTAAACCCGTTTGTTGCTAAAATCTTGGAGAAAGTTGTTGCAAACCAGCTAACCACATTCATGGAGCAACACAATCTGTTTGACTCTTTTCAGTCTGGTTTTCGAAAGTTGCACTCCACAGAAACTGCACTTGTTAAAGTTTCTAACGACGTGTTGATGGCGGCAGATTCTGGTCGCTATACAATATTGGTTTTGCTAGATCTGACCTCTGCTTTTGACACTGTGGATCACAGTATTATGATAAATCGCCTTGAAAAGACGATGGGTTTCTCTGGTTGTGTCCTTAAATGGTTCACATCATATATTTGTGGAAGAACTTTCAATGTTGCAGTGAATGATATTGTGTCTGATGTGTCTCAACTTTCTTATGGTGTTGCCCAAGGGTCTGTTCTGGGCCCTTTATTGTTTTTATTATACCTCTTACCTCTTGGGAAAATTATCGATCGTTTTAAGAATGTATCTTATCATCTCTATGCTGATGACGTCCAACTGTATTGCTCTTTTAAAGACACTGAATTTCTCCTTATCTCCCAGTTCTTAGAGTGTGTGTCCGAGATCAAAGGCTGGTTAACCACAAATTATCTGCAGCTTAATTCTAACAAGACCGAAACCCTGATTTTTGCTCCTGACAATAAGATTCAAGACATCAAACAGCACCTTGGTTCACTTGGTTCCTCTGTCACATCCCCCCTCAGAAACCTGGGGGTTGTTTTTGATCAGGCCCTAAATCTGGACACACACTGCAAACAGCTCGTCAGAAACTGCTTTTATCATCTCAGAAACATATCTAAAATCCGGAAAATATTGTCGCAGAAGGACTTGGAGATGCTCCTTCATGCCTTTGTTTCCACACGTCTTGACTATTGCAATTCATTGTTTACTTGTCTTAATAAGAGTGCTCTTAACAGACTACAAATTGTGCAAAACTCCGCTGCCAGACTTTTAACAGGAAGCCCCCGGTGGTCTCACATCACCCCAGTCCTGTCCTCACTTCATTGGCTCCCAATCAATTTACGTATTGATTTTAAAATTTTGGTTTTAACTTTCAGAGCCTTAAATGGTCAGGCTCCCGTTTATATCTCGGACCTCTTGACCCCACACTATTCTGGCCGCACTCTCAGGTCCACGGGCCAGAATTTACTTGCGGTCCCAAAGACCCGCTATAAGACCCGGGGGGACCGGTCCTTCCAGTCCGTTGCCCCCAGACTGTGGAACGCTCTGCCTCTGTCCCTCCGTGTGGTCAACTCTGTCGATGCTTTTAAAAAGGGACTAAAGACACTTCTTTTTAGGGCAGCTTTTAGTTAGTTTCTTTTTTTTTTTTTTTTTTTTTTTTTTTGTTGTTGTCTTATTTCCATTGTATTTACTTATTTGCTTTTACCCTGTACAGCACTTTGTGATTTTTATCTGTGAAAGGTGCTCTATAAATAAAATTTACTTACTTACTTACTTACTTACTAAACAAACTTTCCATAAATCTGCATAAAACGAAATATATTATCTTTGGAAAAAGGGAAATAATAAAGACCCCATGTAAAATCAGTATGGGGGAGGTAGACATTGAAAGGGTGTATGAAACAAAGTTTTTAGGAATCAATATTGATCATAAGTTAAACTGGAAAGTGCATATAAACACTCTAAAGACTAAAATTTCTAAACTCATTGCTATACTGTGTAAAATTAGAACTTCTGTAAATCAAAATGCTTTATATATACTGTACAATTCCCTCATCCTTCCATACCTCAGCTATCCATCCATTTTCTACCCTTTAATCCATTTCTGGGTCAGGGGGGTGGCAGTCAGAGATGCCACCCAAGTCTCATAGCACCAGCCCCTCACTGACCCTCTGCAGGTGGTGAGTCCACAGGAGGACGGCTGCTCTCTGAGTGTGAGCATAGCCTTGATCTTTCAGTGGGGGCTTTTTGGGCATAGTGGGGTTAAGTGTCTTGCC